GGAAATGGGGATGTTTACAAATGATGAACAAGTCTATTGTTGAGTGAAAAAATAGGCAAACAAACTAGACTCCCCATTTTTGTTTTAGGCAACGGGATGACGTTACTGGACAGGAATGGAAACACCGAAAATAGTGCCATATTGTAAAGACAAATAAATGTATTTGTAAATAAAACATGTTTTTATATCATAGCAGTGCGCAATGATTATGGTGAATAGAGAATGTAGTAGTTTTGTACACATTGAAATAACAGGACAATTTTATGTACAAAAGTTATGCATCAATTAAACGCAAAACTAACTATAAGATAATTATAATTATCAGTATTACATAAAAACATTAGCCGTATGGCAGTGTGCCAAATGAGTCTATTTGAATGACACGTTTAGTGTACACAACACGATAAACTTTATCTTCTCTTTAAGAGAGTAGTTTAGTATGATCGGATCTTTTTAATATCTTTCACAAAACTTTTCAAAAGAATGATCGCGGATGTGATCAAAACATTTATTACATTTTGTACAGTAGTATGCTCTACCCATGAAAGCTGCTTCAGAAGTTATGACGTCATAATGCCCCTTATGATGAAATAAAAGCAATTCTTTCAATTCTAGTCGTCCTTTAGGTATTAAACCCATAAAGGAATCGCCTGAGAACACAAATATTTGATAATCACTCAAGTTTGACTGAAACTTTTTTTAAATTTCTGGGATACCACAGGGACCTAACGACACACCAGCACTTCTATGCAGGTCTCGAGCGCGTCCTAATTGTTCGAGACAACGGTGATCGATGAGTGTTTTTTATTTAAGATCGTTATTTACTTAAGCCAAAGCAACAACAAGTGCTCGAGCTAAACATATTTGATCCCCTAGCCCATTGAATGATCAAGCACATCGCATGGAGAAAACTCTGCATCCCCACTGAGCCTCGTTTTAATGTAGCTCCTCGGGGCATACTGACGTGACAAACAGTCAAAATCATAGAGGCATAAAGAATTAACTCTTGAGATTGTAGAACTCTCATCAATTCGTTCAGAAAGAGCAGTAAATTCAGATACCTTCGTGAACGATATCTGATATGGGATAGTCTAATGTGTCAAATTGTTAAAAAATTGTCAAACTGACCAAACCATGACGAAGCACACCTTGAACCATGTCATTAATAAAACTTTGAATAAAAGTTCACAAAAAAAAAAAATAATAATAATAATAATAATAATAATAATAATAATAGAATCAAGACTACGATTTTCTAAATGTGAGAATGTGAGCTGACAGTCCGTGTTTACTGTCGAAATTTTTTCATCCGTTTACTCGACGCGGATTATGAAATCTTCTATATTCCATCCCATGATTCCCATCCCTGGCTCACTTTCGACTTTCTCTACGATATTCGCCAAATGTTCATCAGTTACATTCGAACCATCCCATAAATCATCAACGCTCTCAAGCTCCGCATTCACTAAGTCGCCCTAATCACAAATCACTCGTCTTCCCACAAATTAGTAATGAACCCATCAGACTTTGTGTCACCCACAATAAAATAGTTTTCAGGACACGGATAATGAAAGGAGGAGGTAATTTATAGAGGAATTCTCAAGCTGAAGCAATACCCTCTGTGCACGATATCTATTGATTTTCTGCAATACCGATAATCATTATATATTTTTCATTTACAGGGTAGTTTTGCTTTTAATAGATGCATAACTTTTGTACATAAATTGTCCTGTTATTTCAATGTGTACATAACGACTGCTATATTCACTATACACCAAAATTATTTCGCACTGCTATGATGTATTTTCATGTTTAATAAAAAACATGTTTTGTTCGAAAATATATGTGTCTGTCATTACACTGTAGGCCAACCACTTTTCTTCAGTGCTTTAATATCATGCCCATTCCTGTACAGTGACATCATTCAGTAACCATGGTGTAAACGTAAACAAAAATAGGGAGTCTAGTTTGTTTACCTGTTTTTTCACTCAACAAAAGACTTGTTTATTTTCAAACATCCCCATTGTCCGCTGTTTGTTTGTCAAAATGATGTAATATAACAAAAGAAAAAAACGAAATCTATTATCCGATGTTGTCTGGGTGTTGCTTCTTATAATCATGCATGGAAATAATAATTACCAAATCTTTATCTCTTGATGCATTCCTTTACATATATGTATATGCGAACATTATTTAAAAAATTGCAATAATTGGAAATGTAATCGGATACAATTATACACAGCGACGTGAAAAAGTGATGTTATTATTTTTTGTGATATATATTCATTTATTAATTAATTCGATTTTTATTTTATTTTTTCTTTGTAAATTGGCAAGAAATACTGTGCGCTTTAAAATCCATTCCGAAGACGGTTAACAAGTTTGTAGATGGAATAGCTGTCGCACACGCACGCACGCTCGCACACACACACACACACACACACACACACACACCTCACATTGTTGCTGTGAAATAAGCCTACTACTTCATCTTCTCATTGCAGGAAAGATACAGTCAAACGACAGACGCAGCATCCCAGAAACCACATCGCTGTTGCTTCATCGAGAGAAAAGTGAATCAACGACAATCTGCACAAAAATAGTAGAACCTCGTAAGAACACGTGTGCTTAAAAAAAAGACTATCCAGCATAAGCAAACCGTTTCCGGATCACTTCGGAAATCGACACTGAAGTCTCAAAAAAGGTCAACCTGGGAATTCAAAAGATCGACCCTTAGGCACAAGTTTCATCATGAATACCACAACTGCTTCTGTGGGCTTCGAATTCATCAGGAAACACCCAGGCCTGTCCCCACAGGAGCTCTGCTGGGTGTTCCAAGGAAAATGCTGGTGCGCCACGATCTACGTCCTGACCATCATTGGATTCGTGGGGAGCCTCTTAACCTTTATTGTTGTCCTCCGCACTGAGAATCTGCGCTCAAAATCCACGTTCGTCTACCTATTGTTCTTGGCGGCGGTTGACGAGTTCGTGCTATTGAATCTCTGAGGGCAGTGCCTGTTCTTTCACCTGAAACCCCTGTCAACTGATCATGCCTGCGCGAACTATTCTGTGATGTACTTCTTGAATAACACGCTCGTGTATCTGTCCGTGATTTACGTGACGGCAGTGACGGTTGAGAGACTGATCATTGTGAAATGGCCGCTGAAAGCTGCATATCTGTGCCGAAGACGGACGGCCATCGTAGCGTGCGTCGTGACCGCGTTTGCCGTTGCGGCCTTCAGCGGCTACCTACTGTCGATGTGCTACGTCGGGTTTGAAACGAGACGCTCTGTCGTGTTTACCGGCAAATACGTTTTCATCAGCATCCACGTCATCTTGTGTTTGACGATCGTTGTTTTAACGGCCATCATCATCTTCCAACTGTCGCGCTCCAGTGCCAGACGCCGGCAGATGATGACGGCGACACCAGCAGCGAGCGCAGGTTCACGGTCAACAAGGGAGTCATTCGCCCAGAAAACACACGTCTTGCTTCTGACCACGCCCATTTCTTTCACAATTTTGACGTGGCCCAAATATGGTTTTGACATCTGGTTAGTGACGATGGAGATTCAGAGGTTTCATGAAGACATACCGACGTTTTATAACGTTATCAGACATGCGTTATTTCTGTTGAGTAAAGTAAACCACTGTATTATCTTTTACCTCTTTGTAGCCTCTGCGCGTTTTCAGAAACGAAATAAAACGCGCGTTTTGCAAACAAAGGGAGGACGTGCCGCGACGCCTGGATTGACAAAAACGAAGTCACAGCCAGTTAACTTTCACGGTAGTGCATGTAGAACAAGCGTGCGTACTGTATCAAGTTGTATGTAAAGTGTCAATGCTGTTAAGGATATTGTCACACTTCGCCCAAAACTCCTTATTTATTTCCTCACATACATTATTTTAGGTAAGAAATAAATCTTCAGTGTTCAGTGACTAAATTAATTAACATTTACACGTGTCGTCTTAAGGTTGACGTCATAATTTCGATTTTAGGGTAAAAAAAATGAAAATTGGTTTCTCAAATTTCTCTTTTACCTAAGCACCCACGATCACCGTTTTAACGCCGATTAAATGACAACATTTAGTATTACAAAACCCTGACAACGATTTTCCTTACAATTCTTGGTTCAGATTTTACCGTTGATAGAGCAAATAATGTCTTTGCTTCATGAAATCTGTAATTAAGGGCTCATAACTTCATTACAATAACATTTAAACAAAATTACGGCACAGGATTGTATCTTATACACTCATGTCAACTCTGCCAATTTTTGTGATGAAAATCTGGTTCAGGGACGATGTTACGCACCAATCCAATTGCTTTTTCACCTCAAAATGGAAAGTTGTTTAATTTACGGTTAAAGGTTCGAGTTGCCAATGCTTTTACGTTGCAACAAAAATATAAACGCTGCTATTTTATATTTTCGAATGTTTTTTCGTTATTTTAAATCAGCACAAAGATAGATGCATTATTGAGTAATGAGATGCAGGAAAATACTCATTTTCAGAATCTGGATGATAATAAAGGGTTACAATATCCTAAAAGATGGCTTGGGTAGAAGCGGGCTCATGAAGAAAAAAAGCGACATACCAAAATAGAAGCACGGGCCAGAGTTCGTGCAAGTGGAACGTTACAAATTAAAGAAATTGTAGTCGTGCTTTAGATGCAAGGACACACATTTCAATCAAAACCTTATTTTGGTTATACTGTAAGCATATTAAGTTTTTATGCTTTTTACATAATTGAGTTTTTTTAGATATTCAAAAATTGAGACTGGAATACAGGAATTTCCGCGTAAAATAACTTGTTCGTCATCATCTTCATTATCATCCTTCGCCCTTGAGCGCAATGGGAGCGGCAACAACAACACGTTTAGACCAGAGTCGTTTCTCTCTCATTATTGAAAGGATCTCATTTTTTTTTTGCAGACCAGTATAATTCATGATAGTTCCAAAGTAAGTTACATTTGGTCTGCCTGTATTAACTTTTCCCCCAGGTGGTGTCCAAAATATGAGTCTGGAGACTGGCTGACCCACCCTGAGCTTCAGAGATAACTTGACACTAACCTCTTCACAATAGCCTATCTTCATCGTGTCAAGTAACCTCTGACGAAAATAGTTTGACCTAGTTTATATAAGCCAATCGAATCCAAGTTTCAAAATTTTTCACCAAAGTTTGGTGAAAACGCTGATTGGTTGACCGTCAATCGGCAATCCTCGGCTGATTCCGCAAGCTCCATACTAGCAAACAAATAGATCGATCGATCGCGGTGATAGATCGATCTAAAGTTGTGGGAATAGTGTGTAAAACCATGGCTCTATTCCCATAGATTTTAGATCGATCTAACCCCGCGGGGAGTCTCACTAGATTACTTTCAGATAATCTGACTTAAATGTCCGTCTCGCCTACTACAAGCTGTAAGGGGGTAATTAACTTTCGTGTCCGCCCGGCTGACAGCTATTTAGCGTGAACCCCCAGGGAGTTAGGTCGATCTAATCTATGGAAATGGGGTGCATGAGTACCGCCAGCGTACACGATGGTGGTGCTAAAAACACATCCAATGTCTATTAATAAAATAGAATTCGATATTAGGAAAACTGACTTTATTTCTCGTATACATGCAATCACTGCACTTAATACAACCACGTTTAAAAGGCAGTGACGTCACAGATGACGTCAGCTTGCACGAAGATACAGTCTATGAAGACCACTGACCGGGTTCAGCAAGTTCGGCTGAAAAACAATCCAACTCTTAAACAGCTCTCGTAAAGCCAAGCAATGCATTCCAAATAACGGAATTCAAACCTCCTGCAATTTCTCAACTTAGTTTCCATGTCAAATATATATTACAATTCATTTTACTGATTCAAGCCAGCTGAGACACACAATTATCCCAATATACACACATTGACAACAGTTATCATTTACAAAATGGCTATTAAATTAAATGATGGTAGGCCACCTTCCACCCAATACTTCAGACTGAATTTATAACCAATTGCTCTTTTATTGGCAAAATTTTAAAACAAGCAATCACTAAAAGCCATAATACTAATTGGCGGAAGAGCTCAATTGATAATTGACAAAATGAAGAGAAAAAATAGCATGACATCAAATTATACACATATGTACACCATGAAATCAAGAATATATAAATGTTCAGATTTCCCATTTCTTTCACTTTGATGCATCTTAATTGAGAACAAGATGCCTTTGAAATAATTCACAATTTAGTTGGGAATTATGACCTCCTTTTGCAATCTTAAAAGGAGAAATTTGAACTATACATTTCTTTTAAATTGCAAACCAATATATAGTAAATATATATTATATACATATATAATATATATATATATATAATATATATTTACTATATATATATATATTATATACATATATAATAACATAGTTACTTGTTTTACAGCTGCTGCCAAGGAACAAAGATTTGATCTCTGTATGGTTAGAGCCAAGATTTGACTATTAAAAGAAAAAATGACAAAGAAATTCACTTGGACTAAACTTACCAGAGGAAAATACTAATAACAAACATATAAATTAATAGATAAAAACTGAATGCTTATTAGCTACTTTTCTTGACTGAATGCAAGCGTAAGGCTAAGATTGGGGCAAAGTGCTGATAATGCCATTTACATGTTGTCAGTACACTGACCTTGTTAGCAATTACTTCCTTAAAAGTTTATGACATGTTTTCATTATCCTTATGAAATGAAAGAAAAAAATGCTAGGCATCCATTTTTAGTGCTCATATACAAGAGTACTTCCAACAAAATTAAAATTTGAAAGAACATATCAGTTATATTAAAAGAATTTGAAAGGAGGGCAAAAGACACTTAATCACGTTGCAACAAAAACTCAACACAAGAAGATAACCAAACATTTGTGAAAATCTACACAAAACAAACTAAGACATGACACAAGGGTTGAGCACACAGCCTTGAATTATAAATACACAACAATTAAATACAAAAACACAAATGTCAATTCTGCAAATTTATATCATAAATCCCAACTTGTTTATTATGTAGCAGTTCTGTCACAGGCTGATTAAAACTACTATACCCCATAATTAGCCCTGGGTACAAAAAAAAAAAAAAATGAAAATTTTATGTCTCAAAGTACTTAGCTAAAAAATTTTAAAAATTAACCAAGCCAAGGGGACAATGTTCTCAAAAACAAAAATAAAGAAACAAACCTTACATTACTTCTAACAAATCGTCACAGATAGGAGGCAAATTGTCTGGTTGCCCTCAATATTGAGCACAGGGACTTCTTCAGGGAAAAGAAGTTGGAAAAAGAGGATTAAAACTGCAGATCATACACATCAAATAAGTCTGAGATGCCCTCGCTGTCTTCTAAACTGAACATGTAGTCCTCTTCTGAGAGAGGAGGTTCTAAACACACAAAAGGGACATCAAAGTGCTGGTCCTCCGTCTGCTGAAGTAAGCTCTGTCCCTCAGCATCTGGGGAGATGTCTTGGTCATCAAGAAGTGCGTGTTTGAGAGTTGGGTCCCCTGTAAATAGGGATAAAATATTTAACTTTTTCTATCAATGAAAATAACTCAACAACTACAAAAATAAGTAAATATTAGCTATATATTGGAAAGAGCACATATGCAAATTGAGTGACCTGTACAAAAAATTAAGTTTAATTCCTTTTAAAATGAAGACAACTAAACAAATAAATCAAAAGGAGAAGGTACTACAAGCCTTGAAAGAAAAAATCACCTTGAAAACTGTCCCTGGAATTAGACTCCTCTGACGAGAAAACTGATGACGAGGACGAAGACGAAACTGAAGAGGGTGTATCAGTCCTGCTGACAACCCTTCTACTGTTGCTGGTGACAGTAGCATTATTGTTCATATTTCCAGTAATGTTACTGGCACTGGTCGTACTGCTCTGCTTATGAGTGAGATTTTTAGATTTTTTCTCATCCTTGGCCGACGTCTCTTCGGGACAGAGATACACCTCTATGGGACCTTTGGAACTCTTTAGCCAAATCTGAATGTTCTGAAAAACATGAAAGGTACTTCATGACATTTCAGATTATTATCCTTACGAACCTGTAGCTAGGTCTTGGTCCGTTTGTATACTTCATTAGTTAAGTAACATTTCAAAATTATAAAAACAATAAGTATAACAATTCTTGATTGTATATACTTGTAAATAAATAAATTTAAATGTCTTGAGCTTTTCCCAACATCTGCAGGATTTAATTGCTAGCATGCAAAATGCTTGAAGCTTAAGTGTGTGCCAGTTTATCATGAAAAAAAAAAAAAATAAAATAAAAAATAATAGTAAAAATGAATAAATTTTTTTAAAAAAAGCTATCTGAAGTAAAAATTATATGTACCCTACAACATTTCACCCTACCATAAATAGAAATAAAAAAAAAAAAATAAATAAAGAAAGAAAAATTAATAATAAAACTTAAAAGATTAAAAAAAGTAAAATAAAATAAAATAACCCTTACTTGTGCTGGGTCAGGTACCTCTAACCGTGTCTGTGGTGGCGCCTTGATAGCTACGACTGTCTGATCCTTGAAGGATTCCACGCCTCGGATGTCCTGATACGTGACATATGCTAACGTGCGCAATTAAGGAGGGAAACAAGTTTTAACAAGTATGCGACCATATAATAATGGCTCTCATACAATTCAAGTCCCAGGAAGTTAATTTAGTACAATTACCTACTCAGTTATGTCAATACAACTGAAGTAGGAATGTGCTTTTTTGTAAAAGGCAAGAATTCCTCCTTTAAAAATAATTTAAGCAGAATCTCACAATCTTTTTTTTTCCCCATCCTTTTTTCTGTTTTTTTTGCAAGGTAAACTATCTTAATACTGGTTTACTTATGTGATTGTAAAAATAACAAAAAAGAGAAAAATTTGTCTGACATCACATAGAATTCATTATAAAATCCATAAATTCTAAAAAACTTGTGTAAACCCCAAACAGAGTAATAAAAACAAAATCCTCCAAGGATATCTAGAGATCTCTCTGTCTTCCGTCAGGTGTTTCAACTGCAAGGTGCTTGCCTTGATCAGCTCATCAAGCAGGTTCTCCTTGGCTTCCAGATCTGCCACATCTGAAGTGAAAACAAACTGATTCACAATACACATAAACCACATTTTCGGGGTTAAAATATTTTAAGGTTCCTAATTTTTGTACCATGCCAACTTGATCAGGATCATTTTGTCTGTGCAAACTCAAGCTGCCCAGGGAGATGAATAGCACATTATCTATAAAATCCGAGATTTTCCAGAGGTGAATTGAGGTCGTATTCTGTGTCTTACGGAAGACAGTCAGATTTTCAAGTTTACATTGAATGGGTATATGATTTTTTTTATGGAGACAGTCAAAAATGGAAGATGGATCAACAAACATGATTTAGAAGACCGTAAGAAAATTCTCTCTGGATCCGCCCGTTTACCTAGGATGTTACATAACATTGTAGCTTATTAACTATACAATATTTAAGACTTGTTATCTGTGAAGGCTTGCATTGCATAATCTGCACAATCTCCATTGCTGCTCTGCATATCAATACTAAAATCTAAAACATGTTTTACAGGGTGCTGCCTAGTATATCATCTACACTATTCAAGACTTGCTCCTCAGGGTGCTATGCAGCATTCTAGTATTTACAAAATTCATGACATAATCTTCAGGGTGTTGTAAATACAATAAGGAGCATGTTTCAAGTGTGCTGTGTAGGTTAATAACATGTTTATTCATACCATGTTCTCCAGGGTGTTAAAATAAATTCATAACAGCACACAAATAAATAGGTAAATATATAAATGATCAAATAACTTGAAAAGATTTGGCAAGACTACATGTCACATATCTTTCATAACTCAATGCACAAATTCAACTTCCTCGTTGGGGATGTATTACATACCTGAATGTAGGTCAATATGTTCTGCAGACAAACAATCGCTTCTGTCACTGACGGTTTCTAATGAACCCCTGGGGAAAATAATGTACAGAAAACTTTTAATTTGATGCACATACAGTGTCCTCAAAAATCTGATAAAAATAACAACTTGATGCTTATTTGTAAAAGTTATCATTGGAAGCAAAATACTGCGCGATTAGAAAATTAAAGAATGAGAATGAAATTGAATAATAAAAATCGGTCTGCATTGTTAATACTGTGATAAAATATATGAGTAAGGCCATTTCAAAAAAAAAAAAAAAAAAAAAAATTTATTACTACTACGTAACTGCATAACTTTTATTTTTCTTCAATCATCATTTACTTTTACCTTTCCAACATCAAAGGACAATTTAGTCATATTCACACACATGCACACAACTTACTTCCACTGAATATTATTTTTAGACTTTTTATTGATGAGGTTGATTCCTTCCAAAACATTTGTGATGTCATAAATCCTTCTTTTCTGTACATCTAATCTTTCTGCTGCCTTGTTCAGGTCAAGAATCTAGGAGCAAACAAATGTAACATAAACATCAACTGAAAAAACTTAAATAATTTCTTCTAATGACTAGAGTAAAAAAAAAAAACTTTAGGGGCAGACAAAATTGATAAGTTGGTTAACAAGCGCCACCAACCTTAATTTTGAGAATTTCAATTTTTTTTTCACAAAATCTTTTTCAAAAGGGGCAAAAAAATATATGGGGTACTGGTTTGGTAAGTGAAGGAAATTTATGTTTGGACCAAGGTAAATCCTTTAAAAATATTGTTCTTATTATGTTATACTCCTTTAAAATCATATGCAAATAATAATAATAATAATAATAATAATAATAGTAATAAAATGTTCTGGAGATTATTCGGAGCACACTACTCTCGTATCATCTGCAGTAGGAAATTCTGACTAAAGACCAACTTTCACTTTCATTTTTGGACCGTGGTCAACTTACCCCATCAGGAGCTGCCTTTAGCAGGCCTACAAACTTCTTGGTGAGGAGACCCAGGGATGTATCGTATCTCGTCTTCTCCAGCGGGGATTTGGCTACATAAACAATGACATAAATTTATTGTGACGAAATAAATGGGAAGATAAAAGAGTAAGTTACAGTTGGCAAAAATATAATGATATTTCAGTCTTTTTACTTTTCTTATTGTTTATCTGTGGTGGATTTTTTACTCAATCAAGGCCTTCCCTAGAGAGTCGTCCAGCTGTCATACGGATGGCTACTGCCAGGCTATGAAAGACAGCCTATATTTTTGAAGACAGTTGAAGGGCTGACAAATTTTTTAGAGAATGATGTCACATAGTCTGCTTGGGTTGGGCTCCACGAAAATTGGTGATAAAATAACTATTTCAAATTTTTGACTCCCCGTGCCCCAAATCCTGGGGAAACCCCTGCATGAACTATTTGTCTACAGAGGATTAAAGATTCAGAGACTCTTGTACTTACTTTGGAGCGAACTATCGCTAGGGAGATTCTCACTTAATTCATTTAACTTGGTCGGCTTAGTTGTCTGCCATACCTACTGAGGCTTATAGACATCAAAGCCGCTTGGGCTAAAAGCAATTTAGTGAGGGACCCGGTGGAGATGGACCGATCCTGTTAGATTGAACTAGGGCTGGGAACCCAGTCTATAAGGGGATGACCATGTAATCACAGCCCTAAAACTCAAAGGCTGCCATCACGTCTCTTTATCCAGTCCTTAATACTGAACTGGTTTCTGAGTACAGCTTCACCCCCGCCCCCCCCCCCCTTCCTCCCACCCTGCAGGTACACAATGGACCCCTTCAACACCTTTAACAGTATAACCTCCCACACCTCTTTAACTCTTCTAAGCCTGAAAATCTAGCCATATACTAGATCACACCCCTTTTCTCTGAAGACTCACTCCCTTGAATAAATGAGTGGCATCTTAAGTACAGCCTGTGGCAAAATCTTAGTAGTACAATGCACTTCAGGTCACCAGGGTCTAAGTATCTGCTTGTCCGATTTAGAAACAATGGCCAAAAGCAGAAGAAATTTACAAAAATTTATGGGCTAGTTTTCTCTTTTACTGGGACTAATGTGGAGACAGAAGTAAGGCAAGCTATCAGAAATGAACTGATAACCCACCATGGCAAGCAGAGGCTTCATTACACAAGGTTCTATAATCTGGACAGACTGGCTGACAGCTCTCAGACAGGTGCTCTAAGAGATTGCTTACAATTACCACCTGTCTATGACAGGACTAATTATACACCATGAAAGATCCAGGGAAGAGACTGCCATCTACTTGAAAATATGGTCTGGAGTTCTGACCTAACCCCCCCCCCCCCCATTTTATTGCAGATCATCACAAAAATGCTATTTTGGGCTCCCAAAATCAAAATTCTGCAAATTGTTGGTAAATAATCTCATCCCTGAAAATCTGGGGTAAGTTTCACAATAGGTAATCCTAAACATTTGGCCAATTTCTATTTAGAAACCATGAGGAGCCCTTACCACACAAAAGGATAACTGAGGGTTTTTATTAAAAGCACCTGTTAATATGGACTTACCTTTAGGACTGCAGTATTTCTTTGATTTGGGGGTTTTGAAGATGTCGTTATCTGTCACAGCATCCAGGTCCAGCTTCCTTTTCACCTGAAATCATTAACACATGACAGTTAACACACGCTTAATTTTATTTATAATAATAATAATAACTCAATTAATTCTAAAGAAGTAATAAAACAGTACACGGATAACTTTACAATGGTATATTAGACACAGGGTTTGCAGGTTTTTAGGTAAGTGCTTGACTTTCTCCCTTTTGTCTTGTTATACTATTTTTTTTTTGGAGGGGGGGGGGAGGACCCTGTGATGCCAGAGGGGTGGATGGGTGGAACACTGTTTGCTGCACCTAACTAGATCCACTATTGCATGTCGTGCTACATATAAATTATTTAATCAATGAACTTGAACTATGGGGAATTCCCTGACTAACTTGAAGGAGAGGTCTGACGTGTCATAATTATAATATAACACTTGTATCCTGAAACAGGGGAATTGAATCCCGTGAGAGCTCATACCTGGAATTTGAATATCTCCACATCCATAATCATCACACACATGCACTTGCATGTACATATACAAATGATGTATCTTTTCATTATATTTGCCCACATAAAATTTGACTTATCTTTTTTTTTTTTTTTGGCAGATTTGCCAAGGTGATGAATGGATTAGAAAAAATGTGGACCTCTGGAAATGACCTTGATAATTAATCAGAATTTTGAACATTTTATATCATACACTGTCACACAAACTCAGTGTCACATACAGATGTGCTACTACTGCTCAGTCTTACCAAAGGTGTGGAATTTAATATTTTTACAGAGAACAGCCGGTCTCCCTAAAGGCAAACTTAAGCCCCACACCCCCATGTTTTCACACTTCCTATGATCCCCTTTTATAACACAGGGTGTTGTTGACTTGAATAAATAAACACTGCAGAGTATTATATGGATTATGTAATTCTTCCACTCCCTGGGTAGAGGAATAGTGAGTACTACATCTGCACCCAGACTTGTTTTTCACAAACCATCAATATCTGTGCATTTAAATAACAATAATATCGTTTTTGAGGTGTCGATTGCAGTTTTCAAGCACCTGTTTAAAAATTTCAAGGTTGAACCCTCACATGCCTGGCTGCACGCAAGTTTCGCTTTTGCAAGGTCGACGGATTGAAAACTGCCTAAAATAATTTTAATCACAGTCAGTCTTTACGTGCATACTTTTGAACATTTGACATACTAGGCCGAAAGTTTTGCAATTAAAAATTGTCATCATGCACATATTTTCATCACCCTAATCACAAAAGAAGACGTGACATACTTCCCCCGGGGGCGTTTTTTCACTCGAAGTCAGGTGTAAATAAATCCCGTCTTAATGCATTTATAAATATTCAAAATAAGATTTAAAGAGGATGAATTATAGTGAAAAAAACTTGCCTGCAATCTACCAAGCTGGGGGTCCTCTAAAAACCCTGGCCCGTGGGGCGTGAACCCTTGCTGTGTGGGGCTAGTCCACTGATTGTCCACTTCTTGTTTTATGTGTACAACAGTTGTTTGCGTTCCGCTCTGTTGCGACGGGTAAATAATGCGAGAATTGCCAAAAAATCCACAAGAGCTGTCTGCAGGTTTACTGTGTAGTAAACTTGTCGCTCTTCCACCCCGCGGCATCGCAGCTGTTAGCCTCAGCCTTCCTTCCAACGCGAGGGTCCTTTGTTGTTTACGCAGGTTTAAATGGCCAAGCTGGACTCGGTCCGGTGACCTAGATTGAAGCTCCAATAAAAGTTACTTCCAAACTTGCAAATTTCAGTTTGAGTGATTAAAGATCAGGCTTAGAACCCCAATAACTGTTGTGGTGAGTTTGACGACGATCAGTGGTCAATTTCTCTTATGATGAGGCCGGATTTTGCGACATCCCTGCAAAGTTTCCTAGCTCCAAGATGGTTGTAAAGGACAACAAAGCGAAGGATATTTGGCGCGAAATTGTATTTCCCGCGACATGGCCTCATTTGGCCTTCGGTGGAACATGGATGACAGAAAGCTTGGGAGAGTTTTTTGCAAAAATACATTCTTCCTTTAATTCTTGAGCAATGTAGCTTATTATGAGTATTCAATAAACCAATACCAACCAATATGTCACTTTAATTGTGAGTTTTGTCTTCAATTCGCTTAAAAAGTGCACTTTAAGAAACACAGATCCAGGTTTCGTGGTTTCATCCAATCAAATTCATAGTTTACATCACGTGACACAGCTTATCAGCCTATACGCGCGTCTAAACACAAAACTTGTTGGGGACAGGTGTTACTATAGCACAGACAAACAAAGCATTCGCGCGAAATGGTCAAAGGGCGGTAAATTGACGTCATTAAGTAACCCTTGCCCAAGATACGTGACCAGAGAAAATTATTTGATATAATACTACTTTTTTGTAGTTGTCGTTTGATATTTTCTTTCTGCTACACCACAAAGCAACTGAATGAAAAAAAATGGACAGCATTTGGAAGTTAATTTTATCAAATAATAATAATAATTTATAAAAAAATATCAACTTTTTTAATTTAACAAAAAATGAAAAGAAAAAGAAAATGTTTTTCCCCAATTTCTGAACATTTCCCTCCTTTTTTAATTTTTTTAGCTTAATTTGTATGATGCTGAATAAAATTTTGACTCTACACATATTGCTTTCCATATATGTGAATAATGCCAATGAATATCAACTGAGAAAAAAAAAAAGAAAATCAAATTAATATAAAAACAAACAGCAAAATATGAATTAATGTACCCAATGCTGATACCTTTATTACAATTAAAACATAACAATTATAAGAAGCCATTGTATGTTTTTATATATACAGGTATGTACATACACAGATTACATAACGATTTAAGTAAGAATGGCATCCAGAAGCCACTGCATCTTGTCAACTTCACAAGACATACTTTACAGGCCAAGACAACAAGCTGAATATAATAAAACCACTTGACGCAAGTTTTTACAATGCCAAGCTAAGCTCATTTTAAGTTAGAATATAAGGGTTTCATTCAATTCACATATTGCTACACCACTCCCAATATGACATGATAATATCTTTCTGTGAATTGTAAACCTCTCTACGGTTCTGATATATACATAAACATTTAAAAAGTTCAAGTACGTGATTAATGTTAATCACTTTTTGATATTGCATTAGGTAAGAAAATTCAAGGTGTTTTATCAAACCTAATCTCAAACACCTGTATCATATGTTACATAAAAATATTATTGGGGTATTCACCTAAAGATGCTACTAACAAATGCCACTAAAACTCTACCATGGAATATAGATATATAAAGAATTGATTTATAATGTTAAGACCATTTTCACTAAAAATGGTCTTAACATTTCACTGAATTTTCACTAAAAAATACTGGAAAAAGACAAAACTAAGTCATATGCCAGTATGTAGACTAAAGATAAATGAAGAACATTGCCCCGCCTTACACCACAAGAATTGTCAGCGGACTGTTTTGGTGACAAACTTGTGTCAGTTCAGGTAAGGTTAGTCCTATTGAAAACAAGCCCTGTTAAATCATATTGAGTCCACCCAGGTTTAGGTATAAACATCTATTTTTTACCACAGATCGGAAGGAAAAATTTGCTGTAAAATTTCACACACACTAGCCTTTGAAAATTGTTTCCTTTCACGAAACTTAAACCATTTTCAATGAACAGGATATATTACGCAGTCTGTAAACTCTAAAATCCTTGATAGAGAAGCCATTACCTTTTCACATAAATAAAATCTGAGCTTGGGTGAAAAGATAAAGAACTGTGCAAACATTTGGGTCTGATTTTCCAACTTTGAGATCATTATGTTTTCTCACTATACACTATATTCATGTGCTCTCAAGTATACACAAATATGCAAAGAAATGACTGTACAGACATTACATGTACATACTGGGCGACTGGCTATCTAAAGCAAATGCTGCTTCATCTTCATATATGTTTGTGTATATACTTATTGTTTAAGAAAGAAGAGTACTACAGCTGTTCATCTATTAATTCAAAGAATTTGACAAGTTATCCAACACATTAAAAACGGTATTTTGTTGGTAATACTTAAAAATGGTAATTCAAAAGTTTTGAAAAGTGACATATCTTCACATCAGATAGTTTGTGCAAGAATATGAAAATAATGAATACTGAAAGTAAAATATTAGAGAAAGTGAGGAATTTGAAAATTAAAAAAATTGAAAATATATTCACCGCATTAAGTAACACAATGTCCCCACAGTTAATTTGAAATACCTGAACTATTGCCATGCTGTCATCTTGTCTACTAAATCCTGTCTACTAAAAAGAGAAAAAAGTCAGACAGGTTGTTGACTGCTGAAAGGATTTCATATCCTTAACTACCAAAAAGATAAACCGTTCTTAGCATATGTTAACAAAATTCCTTTGGTTTTTGCACATAATACCAAATCAAGCAAAGTTCACCTGTTTGTGAAGAGAATTCCCAATGTTCTGCCACCAAAAAATCAATTAATTAACTAATAGTTTAAATTAATACAAAATCTAGTGTTCAAAATGGTGAAGATCTTCAATATCCCAGCAATTTTTTTTTTAAGTACATCAATCCTGGGGTCCAACAAATATTTTCAGCTGCAGTGTATGGATAAACTGTCCATTATTACCATGGGGCTTCTCTCCCTTGGTCTTCTCTACCTGGGCCCTGGGGTCTGAGCCCTGGGGGTGGAGGTCTCCTGTTGGGTCCCCAGGGTCTGTCACCATGAGGTGGGCCTCGCCTTTCAAACTCAGGGTGGGGTCGTCTTGGTGGCCTGTCACCTTCTCCAGCTGGTGCTGCCCTCTGGTGCATTGGTTCCATGCGTCCAGGACCTTGGCCCTCTTCAGGAACTGGATGGTCAAATAGTCCTGCTATTCTTCTATTTTGTGTTGGGTCCCTAAACTCTGTCTCATTTATTTCTCTTTGGTGATCAAATTCTTCCCCTTCACCATGCTGTTCATCTGTTGGGAGAGGTAGATCTAGTAAAGATACAACCTTCTTCTCCCCTGTTGGTCTCATCTGGCCGGCTCCTCTTGGAGGCAGTCCTCTACCTCTTGGCAGCCCTCTACCTCTTGGTGGCCTCTCAGACATGTGTTGATGTACACTTCTCATGCCATCATCACCTGGAAATGATGGTTCTATAGGATAATCTTCCTCCCTGTGTTGCAATTGCCATTCAGGTGGAGGGGGTCTTCTTTTAAATGGTGGCCTCTCCGTGGAAGCACTATGCCCTTCTTCACCCCACTCTTCACCTGCATTTTCTGGATGGAATTCATCTCTAAAATGTTCAGGAACTCTTGCAGGCCTATCTCCCAACAGCCCCACACTGGACCCCATGCCCTGTGGTGGCCTGTCACCAATAAGACCCTTGGACTCTTTTTCACCCTGAGGGGGTCTTAATCGATGCACGTCACCTTCTTCTTGAAACTCAACTAATGGTGATCCCCTGCCCTCAGCCACATGTTGAAGTTGACCTCTAAATGCTGGAACGGGTGGCCTCATTCTTTCACCATCTGGAGCTCTCAAAGGATGTCCTCTCCCTGGCCTTTCCCAAGGGTCAATCCCTGGGGGGACCCTTCTCTCTACATCTGGATCCCTCATGGGCCTTCCTCTTGGACCTAGACCCCTCACAGGCCTACCCCTTAAACCACCCTCACGCAGACCCATTCTATCCCCTTCAGGCCCTCTCATTTGTTGGTCCAATGGGTGATCCGCTTCCTCTCTTGGATCTACTGGTCCTCTCCTCTGTTGTGCATCTGGCCTGTTAGGGTCCCAATGTTCTTCAGGACCAAAATGTTCCATTCTCTCCTCACCCTCATGGTGTAGATCCTGGTGTATATGATCTGGGTCACCCTCCTCCCAAGTATCTTCTCTAAACTGGGGTGCTCCTCTGGGGTGCTGAGGAGGGAAGCCACGTAATCTTCCTCTAAATCCTGGTCCCCCACGACCTCTTCTTCCTAACTCAGCTGGATGAGGTCCGCCCCGACCAGGAAACATGTGACCTTGGTGGATCATTTCTTCTTCATCTTCTGCTCCCCAGTTTCCTGGCCTTCTGTTTTCTATCATTTCATGGCCAGGGTAGTGAGGTCCAGGTCTTCTTCTGCCTCTCCCTCTTAACTCCACATCTCTTGAAGCCAGTCTTTCTCTAAAATCCCTCTGTTGTGGTTCTATGGATTCATATCCTGAAAATTCTTGGTCACCTTGTTCAAAGTTCTCCCAATTATGCGCCAGAAGTTCTTCCTCAGAGGGTCTATCAAAGTTCCCGTGTTCTGGTGGAGGAGGTCGGCCCCGCATTCCACGGGGATATCCTCTCCCTCGGCTCCTGGGATTCAATTTCCTGGCATCCATTTCTTCATGAAAATGTGGAGATTTTCTCCCAGATTCATATTCCAAGTTTTCTCTTAAGTCTTGACCTGGTGGACCCATTCTAAACAGTCTTTCCCTTGAATGTGGATGCAGAGGTCGCAAAAAATCATGATCAGGATTTCCTTGGTTTTCCTCAAAGCCAGGGATCACTCCTGTATCTCTATGGTCAGGGCCATGAGAACCACTTTCCTCTTGCCATCCTAGTTCTGCACCTGGTCCTTGTTTTTGGCCATCTGAATGGTGAGGCTGTTCACCCTGTGGTCTATCACCAAGCAGACCTCTCTTGTCTGGGCGACCATGAAGCCTGGACTGGGGTCCACCATCTGCAGGGGGTTGTGTGAGTGGCGATCTTCTTCCTGGTAGACCATCTGTTCTGAGATGTTGATGCTGCTGCTGTTGCATTCTTTCATGGATTTGTTCTCTTATTCGAGGAGAGCCTTCACGACTCCGAGGAGGTTCATTTTTCTGCTGAGAGTCGGCAGCTCTAGCTGGGGTAGATAATAAACCTCTTGAAGGCTGACTTTGCTGTTCTCTTTGCTGCTGGTGCTCAAATTTCCATTGGTCTTGAGATTCTTGTGGTCTGCCTTGTTGATTAAATGGGGCACGGGCTTGGTGCCTCTGATCAAAGGGTGCGGGTGGTCTTGGCCCACTCATTGGCCCTCCTGAACCAAAGCCAGACTGTCTATTTAACTGACTTTGGGGTGGGCCTTGGGAAGAAGGCTGTTTCACCTGGCCCTGGGGTGATGGCCCAACTGTCTGCTCTGTTGGCCCCTGGGATGGCCGTCTATTCCCCTGGGGCTGATCCCCAGGTTTATTTAAGGGGTGCTGCATTGCTGGTGCATCTCCTAATATCCCGACCCCACCTTTAAGTGGAAATGGACGTTGGGCTTGTGTAGTACTCTGTGGAAGTGACCTCTGTTGTAGCACCTGTGGCATTTGAGGCCTATTATGTTGGCTGGTAGGTCCTGTTTGGTTCTGGTTCTGTTGGGGCATCTGGTTTGGCCTCTGCTGAGCAGGTCCCAGGGCTTGAGTTTGGTTCAGTTTGGAGGGCTGAGTAAGCCTCTGCTGATTCCAGCCTGGTGGCTGATTTGGATGTTGTTTCGCAGCTGCTGAAAGTTGATTTTGCTGCTGTTGTTGTGGTGGGCCTGATAATTGATTATTACTTTGTGATGATGGACCAGTCTGATTTGGCTTCTGCTGCATTAAAGAGGTTGGCTTATTTTGGCTCTGTTGTAACGTAGAAGGAGGCTGATTCTGCTTTTGCTGAAACTGGGGCATGGATGACATATTTTTACTCCCCTGTGATGAGGATGATGGTGGTGGGTGCTGTTTTGGGTCCTGCTGTGCTGACATGGGTGATTGCCTAATGGGAGCACCTGTTTGAGCAGAAGACTGACCTGTCTCACTTTTATTTCCAGAAACAGTATTTGAATCATGTGCTTTTGGCTGGGATGCATTTGCAGAAGCACCAAGAGGTTTCCATTTATTATTTCCCGGGGGCTGCGTCTTTCCCACCTGCTGATCCCCCTGTTGGCTACTTCTTTCCTTCACACTGGTTGCCTCTGCTTGCTTTCCTGCCTCTTTCAGTGCTTTGTCCTTATCTTCTCCAGCTGGACTGGACTTCCCTGTGCTGGCAGATTGCTGTACCTTCCCTGCTTGTTTAGTTTCACTACTACTATCATTGGACTTCACAGAACCTTCCCTTGAACTTGGCCTTCTACCTCTTGGTGAAGACCTATCACCTGTGTCCCTTCTTTGTCTGTCCCTATCTGAGCGATCCCTGCCTCGATCACGGTCTCTTCTCGGTGATCTGCTTCTTCGCCTTCTGTCCGGAGATCTCCTATTCCTATTGTCCCTAGAACCAGATCTCCTGTCCCTCCGTCTCCCATGACCTCTATCTGGACTTTCTCGCCTGTTACTTGAACTCTGTCTTCTGTGGGGTGACTGCCTGTCTCGAGATGACTGCCGATCTCTTGAGGAACGGCCACTTTCTCCTTGAGCAGATCTCTTTCCAGTTCTTTGGTCTTGTTCCACACTTTCTCTCCGCGCCACATCACTGGAACTGCTACTACCACCTGGCTGTATATCAGGCGTTCTAGTTGCTATTTTACCACCAATTCCGGATTGTGGCCTGGCATCTTTTTCACTGCTCTTGCTCTCTTTAGGCTGATTTAAAGGTGGATGGAGACCATGTGCAGCACTTTCTTTGGACTTATCACTGCCTGTTGGGGGATTTCTGGAGAAATCACCTCCCTGCTGCTGTGGTACCTGTTGGCTTGACTGGCTGTCTGATCCTTTTTGACCACCTAAAATGAATACATACACATCTCTGATCAAGCTGTCCATATGTGCAAGTCACTTGGATTGAAAATATTAACTCTTTCTGACCAAATGAAATCAGTAAGATAAGGACACCGTTCTCCACCACATGATATATTTTAATTTAGGATATTGTTTATGCAACTGATTAACCAACAATTTCCTTTTCCAACAAAAACAACAGAATTTCAGAAAAAAAATTAAGAACTTTTAAATACTTTTCAACATCATTGCATTGTTACCTTATATGCTGACATCTAATGGCTTTAAATTCATTACATAAGGATTAACAAATTAAAAGTACATATTAACAGCTCACCCATGGGAGTAGCCTTTCCAGTCAAAACAGGTGGTGGCACAGTGAACTTCTCAGCCTGTTCTGCTGCAGCTTTGCCTTCTTCCATCTTTCTGGAAGCCAGTTCTTGCCTCTGCGTCTCCCTCCTCTGCCATTCCGAAATAGAAATAAAGGCAGGCTGGGTGTGGGCGTCGTCATCACCCGCACCCTCCTCATGTTGATAGAAATGTGACTGTTGTGAGATTAGGTCATCCATATTGTGAGTCTGTCCAGTCTCTTTGCTATGGTTATCATGACCAAAGAGGTTCTCAGTCCGTTCATCCTGCTGCCTCAGTGCTTTTGCAGCCAGGTGCTCCTCAGGTCCGCCAAAGCCTGGCAGTAAAGGTTCAGTGGACTTTGTATGTCCAAAATGCCTTGTAGAATCAACAGCTTTGCCCCTGACAGGTGAAGGTTCCTCATAATCAAAAGCCTGATGGGAACTGTCGAATCCGAATCCTGGAATCACCGATTTCTCCTCCCGTCCACCATATGCCCCACCCCCACTCTGCTTACTGGCCAGGGAGAAGATGGACAGTCCAGTTGGGTCACTGGTCAGCAAACTGCCCAGGCCACCTTTGTGTCTCTCTCTGCCTGAATACTGTGATGAATGCTCAATAGGGGGTGATAACGCATCACCAAGAGGAGTTTTACCCCTCCCGCCAAAGGGAGTAGTCGGACTTTTTAAAGTGTCTTCTGTACTGTCCACTCTATTTGGACTCATAAATTTTTGTTCATATGGTGTCAGGAAGTGTGTTTGTCCAATGTCAACACCCTTCTGACTCAAATCTAAATAGTTTCTCTGTGCTGAAGATGTCCCAGCTTGGCTTTGATGCTGTCTTGATGTAGCGCCACCTATTGAAGAAGAGGAAGTGGGTTGACTAGGATCAGCTGGCTCTTTGCTAGTCCCAGCTTGAGCTCTGGAGAGAACAGCCTGCAATTCAGAGCTCTGGATATTTCCAGCCTCCTTTCCAGTCAGTAATGCTTGGATACCAGGGGGCAGCAGTGAGAACCCAGATAAGTCAGAGCTGCCTCCAGTGGACGTTGCCCCTTTCCCTTTAGTGCTGACACCTGCTTGTAAAGCGGTAACTGCTGAGGGACTAGCAGAGACAGAGATGGACACAGATGGTTGTCCTTGACCTGGTGGTGGAACACCTTGAATATCAGCCTTGGGGAAGAGGTCTCCTCTTGTTGTGGCGCCCCCTATGTCACTTTTCTTTGGGTCTGCTGTGGAGCTGACAGACGGAGCTTGCAGGTTGAGATGTGGCAGAAATTTTGCCAGATTGGCCATCAAACTCGGTGGCAATGCTTTTGTCTTTCCTGGATGTCCTCCTGAGCTTGGTCCTTCTTCACCATGCTGCACTCTGGAGGCTCCTTGGGGTTCCACAGATGACTTTGATGCACTGACTTCTCCCCCTGTCGAGCCTTTTTGTGAAGTCATTTGTGAAGAGGCTCCCCCTGGTGCTGTATTTCTGCCACCTGCAGTCGCCTCTGTTGCAGACAGTTTTGGTGCTGGAGGAAGGGGTATGCTGCCCACTGAGACTGGTGGTTTGGTACCTGTTTTCTCTGTGCCTGGGGGTCCAGCTAGAAAAGAAACATATAATAAATTTACTGTAAACCAATATTAAACATTACTTGGTAGGAAGTTCTGTCTTAAAGCTTGAAGAGAAAGCAACATTTGAGTCCATTCAGAATCAAATGCCCTCTGTGTACTATTTGCATAAATTTGACTTTTCTGTTTTATATTAGAGTGCTTTCCAATATGGAAAGAAATAAACAGTAATTGTAAAGTCATGTACAAAGTTAAAAAATATTTTATTTTTTTTTGTGGAATGACCCATGGGACTATCTAAGGGACCATTCCCACATATATTTGGATCGATCTATCTCCCTGGGGAGTCTCACTAAATTGCTATCAAACTAACCGGCTTAAACGTCTGTCACACCTCGTAAAAGGGGGTAATTATCTTTACCCCTAGCTGATTCGCTAGGCGTGACAGACATTTAAGCCTCCTGAGCTGATAGCAATTTAGTGCGAACCCAGTCTAAAAGGACAGTGTACTTATATCTTTCTTTATAGAAAACCTTGTCATATCTTAAAGCCTTGCCATAGCAATTATAAGTAAGAAATTATAATATTCAGTTTCTACAATTGTAAAATGGTCTTAAGTGCATGCAATAATTAGAAAATGTGAGTGCGAGTATGAAAATTATATTGATTCGTTTTCAAAATTATGATTAATGATAAATATCTACCTTGAAATCCTTGTAAAGTCTGCATTTTCATTTCCACCTGTCTCTTTTGTTCCTCCACTTGTTGTGACAGTTTCTTTAGCTCCAGTTGCTTTTTTTGTTGCTCAACCTGCAGAAACAATCAAAATATTTCACACTGTTGTAAAATATATCTATATATATATGTCACTAAAAAGAAGGGAGATATGGATGTGCCTTTAGTTACCTGCGAAACGTATCTGCTTAAGTTCCACAGCAGTTGCAAGTTTGCAGGATTTAGGAAACTGTGGATGCATTTTCATGGTCAGTCAGAACTTAACAATTAGCATGGAGAATGTCATGGGGTTAAGCCAAATGCCAGCAATATCCAGTTCACAGAAAGAATGTGGCTTACCTTCCTAGTGAGTTCAATAAGAAGTTTCCTCTGGGCCCCCAGGTCTGTGTTCACCGCCATGGTAGCAAGAAGAGCTGCAGTCATCTCTGCTGGGTTTTTGGCCTTGGAGATCTCATCTATCATCTTGCTGACATCTACACTGCCAAGATTGAAGCCTGTTGGTTTGTCACTAGTCCCCTACAAAACACAACAATACTAAGTTATATGTATAAAGGGGCTTAAGTTTTAGTCCAAAATCTTTTAATAGATTTTAACATGAGCTGAACAAGACTAAAGTTTTGCCCTTAAACTTAGAACAACTTTCTAACTTGGCCCCTTTTTTCTACCCTCCCGTAGATCTAAACTAACCTGGCTCTGCCCAGCCGGAGGTGCTGCTGGTGTGACTGTCTGCTGGCTAGATGGAGCCACTACAGGCTGTTGCTGAGCAACTGGCAAGACAGGAGCATCATCATCTGCTGGTTCATAGGGGGCGTCCTCATCATTTTCCCCAGGAGTACCCTGGCTGGGGGAGTAACTACTAGTGCCTGGAATATGAAAATGGACAGAAATAAAAAAAAATATTGTCAAAAGGAAATAGAGAGCTCTACTGTGCATACTGCTTGTTTGACTGAAGTAATATTTTATCATTTTCATGAGGGGCAGGGGTGGGTTGAACTCCCAAACTGAAAACATGTTGACTGAGTAGGTAAGGCCTGACATTAGGTATCTTTCTTCATGTTAAGGCATGAGCAACATTCAAAGTATTATCTGCAAAGACAAACAAGATGCCTTGGTTTCCCTTGCCCCAAATGAGACCACAGAAAATGGTCCAAGGTACTGAGCTATTGAATGAACCAATTTCTAAGTGCATTTTGTGAGCCCTTTGATGCACTCTAAAATTCTGTAATTCAATAGCTCCATTTTATGAAAACATTAGAACATTCATTATAAACAATAAATCCAAACCTTTTCCAAACTGTTTCACAATGGGGTCTCCAGTGACGGTGGTTTCTTCTTTAGTTGCTGAGGCAGCCACCTGCTTGGCAGAGTAAGGTAAAGGTTCATATTCCTCCTCTTCTTCTTCTTGGCCCTCAGTGTTCCATGCATTGCTCTTGGTCATACTGTGAAAAGAGAGAAGGGAATTTTTAATATCTATGGGATACTTCTCTCACCATTCTCAGTCCCAACCATGGATGTATTTACGGAAAAATAAATTACACCTTTAGCGAACACTACACTGGAAGCCCTGTCTTCACTTCTAACACAAGCTGACACATTTGACAAAACTGCTGATTAAAATTTGGAAATTAATTTGGAAAAAAAAACCTTTGTTTTATTGTACACTGGCTCACTAATTGACACCTTGTTGCATTACACAATCACCCATGGTGGCGCCTCTCAATTAAGTTAACCCAGATAGACTGGAAACACGACTGGCACTGTCAGGAAAAAAATGCAAGTTGGACTGGAAAAAAAAAAGCCTGTCCAAACTTCACTTACTGAGGCTTATACACATCCACTGTGGCAGGGGTACTTGTGGCAGTTGACTCCGAGCTGCTTTTATCCACAGTATGCAGGGTATAAAATCCAGTTTTGGGTTTGTGAACTTCCTCTGCTGGTGGCGGTGAGTGGGACTCCTCCATTTTCTCCTGTGATTTCTGCTTGGAGGGATGAGGATGAGGATGATGGCGGTGATGGTGCTTGTGGTGATGATGGTGCTGTTCGGGAGTGGTGTCATGCCTTTAGAGAGATAAAAAAAGGAAAATGGAGATAGAAAACAGTAGTATAAAATATATTAAAGGTTCTAATCTGAGAATTTTTGCAGAATTTTTTTCCCCCAACTCACTGCTTGATAGATGTTTCACAGCACTTCTGATCAAATAATTCAGATCTTCATTTTTGGTCAGACTTTTAGAATGCTATCTTCATGACATTTCAGAAGCAAAATCATTAATATGGCCACCATGTACTTTTATTTACAGTTTTAGGCAAAATTAGAAAAAGGCAGTTTTAAGGAATATACAGAAAAAGAAAATATGACTTTAGAGGACATTTTCATATGCATAAAGTGTCCCTTTAAAAATGCAAAATTTATGATTACTTGTGTCTTTTAGGACTGCTTTCTTCTCTGCTATGTTTCTCACTGCCTCTCTTTGGACTATCAGCATGACTCTCATTGCTTGCTGCCTTCTGGGGGTGTGGCCTCTTTAGCACCGCCTTCGACCTGACAATCACTGCCAATATCATGTGAGGGCGGGTTTTCTCCAGTCCTGAATAAAAAAGATTGTCTTAAAACTTGACTGGGCAATACTGAATAATTGTTTTAAGAATCGAAAGACACAACTAACCCATGTTGGTCAAAATTATTCATTAAAAGAAAGGTGTGTGTGTGTGTGTTTGAGCGTGTCTGGGTCTGCATGCATGTGCATGTGTCTCCGAATGCACTTGACTACATAGCAAATATTGCATGCATGTGGACATGTATGAGATTGTGCTATCACTATCTTCTGGCATCTACAGTAAAAACCTGAAAATTTTGTCTGTCTTGAAAATTTTGTCAGAAGATGATACTCCCCCAAGGTAATTTTTTTCACTTTGAAAATTTCACCAAACTTAAAAATGGGCCTCTCAATAATTTCGAAAAAAGTTAGTCACCTAATACGGCAATGTTGGATTCAGTCATTTTAAGATAAAAATTACTTCTTAAGTGCCAAAATTTTCAAGTTTTTACCGTAAAAGACTGGTATCTTTGGTGTCTTCTACACACATTGTGAACAGTGGTTATGCACAATGTCATTACAGACACGAGTTTAGGTTGTAAGTAAAAAAAAAAGGAAAACAAATGGCTTAGGGACCTTTTGATGGAGGGCTTAAGGGCTACTAATTATTATTTACTACTTAGTTGGATTTCTTATTTAAATTTAAAAAAATTAAAAAACATGTCTTTTCTTACCTGGTCCATCAAAGGGCAGCAAAACTGATGGCACGCGACTGTGTGACGCCAAAGGAATGAGATACATGTCCTTTATATGAGGGTTATGATTGGCTACCACACCGCAGCGGCTGCGACTGTTCAGGTATGAGTAAAACTGGACGTAACTGTTCTTTTCCTCTTCATTTGGTGGCTCTAGGCGTATAATGATAATGTCCTGTAACAAAGAAAAAAACATTGTGAATGTCATGTTGGGTGTTGATATGAAATGTGACAGTTGAGCTTAGTTAAACAATGTTAATCAAGTTCTTCAATCTAATACTGGAATTGAGATCTGTCCAACTGACAATGTAAACTGGCTGAGGTCTCTGAGACAGAGATGTAATGCTGAAAGCTAGTCCACTAATGGTAGATCCAGAATTAAGTGTATGATGATGGAGTCCATAAGGGAAAATATTGTAAATGTCATGGCATGGTGTTGATATGAAATGTGATAGTTGAGCTAGGAAAAGCAATGTTGTGAAACCATTGTGCTTGTTGGAAGTCAGACCAATCAAGACAAAGTTTGAGAGCTGCAAAAATATAAGAGCCTGAAGCCAACTACTCCATTTCCTTCTTTTACTAAAATAATCATTAATTTTTACAAAATGGAGAGGAGAGATGGAGATGTTAGCTGTCACAGTTGCATTCATGGTGATACTCATCCAACAAAAAGTAAAATGGAATGAAATAATAAAAAAAAAACATATATTACTCAATTCTACCATATTTGAATTCTTCATATTCATAAAAAGGATGTTCAAAGAGCAGTAGTCTTACAATATAATTTTGTGCAAATGAAACAAGATTTTATTAACTGCATTCCATTTTTGGACAACAAGGAAAATATGCCATTAGTACTTGAGATTTATTGACTTTTCTATTTATAGCAGCCAATTTCTTCAAAGTGGATCTGACATGAGATTTGTTTAATGAGTCGAATAATCACCACTGAGACTTTCTTGTCAAAATTCTCTTTAACTTGTGAGACTCCACGGTGTAGCTAATCTGTTTTCTTTAAGCCCATAAAATAAAACAATATTATTTGAACTGTGTGAAAATGTGATATCATGTAATTACTCCTCATCCTCATCACAAAACCTTCTCAAATGAAGCTACTTAATTCAATGAACCCAATTCTACTGAGAACATAGCTTGAAAATAGGTGCTTCTAGTTTTGGTCAACACAAAAAAAAAAAAAAAAAAAAAAAAAAAAAAAAAAAAAAAAAAAAAAAAAAAAAAAAAAAAAAAAAAAAAAAAAATGATCATCTTAAACCAACCTGCTTGTGAAACTAATAAGTGACTTCTAATATCTAAGAAGGCGTTGAAATAGAATGTTCAGCCCACCCATCAATTACGACTAATTGACCAAAAGACCACGGAAGACCACACAATTATCCAGGGCCCCCATCAGCTAATGATGCTGCAAAGGTACAGTTCACATCAGGTTAGCCTTAAAATTTTTTCACAAAACAATACAGCTGTACTGGTGTAAACTTCGCAAAAAAAGCATCTTGACAGTGTGGTAATTATATAAGGGCTACAGGGGGTTCATGCACTAGAGGCTGCCTAAGAGCCTAATTAATTTTAATTGGTATTTATAAAGTGATACTGTTCTATTGTGATCAAGAGAGTACATGCCAGGTAGAACAGAGATAAAAAGCTGTTCTGTCGCTGACTGTGTCACATTATATTCTTTTGTCACTAACTGTGTCACATTATATTCTTTTGTCAGTCACTGTGTCACAATATATTTTGTCACTAAATGTGTCACAACATATTCCTTTTTCACTGTGTCACAATATATTCTTCTGTCACTATGTCACAATATATTCTTTTGTCACTAACTATGTCAATATATATATTTTTTGTCACTCACTGTGTCACAATATATAAAGAGACTGATGAAGATGGCGATGGCATGTTGAAATATTTTACCCAAGATATAAATTTTCTGTTTGTGACAAAAGCACTATTGATCTCCATTACTCATGAAACTTTCAAAAGAATTACGATATGCTGCGTAGAACTTCCATTCAAACAGAAGGAAGAAAAGTTTTGAAAGCAGGTAAAGCCCCTATTATATGTTACTTAGGACCTATCTGATATGAAAGGGGCCTTCATTTAATGATGGTATTAAGGTACAGTTCACTTCAGTTTTGTCTCAGATGTACAGGCCTATAGGTTGGGGGGTGGGGTTGGGGAGGTGTGGGGAGANGGGGTGGGGAGAGGGGGTGGGGAGGTGTGGGGAGAGGGGGTGGAGGAGGTGTGGGGAGAAGGTGTGGGGAGAGGGGGTGGGGAGAGGGGGTGGGGAGGTGTGGGGAGAGGGGGTGGGGTGGGGGAGGAGGGGTTTAAATGAACTGACCTTTTGGCTGGAGAGGGTCCACTATGAATAAAAATACAATCAAGGTTCTACAACATTTTTTCAATAAGAGGGTAAAAAGGTCCTGTTTTTCAGAAAAAGAAAACCTCTTCCAATATTGCTGACTACAGGTTTGAAATTACCCCATAAAAAATCCACAAAAAATATATCAAATAATCTGCTTCCAAATTACCAAACAGAAAAGCTTCAGACACATTTGCAATGTTGGGGTTTAGACTTTTAAATCACTGGTTAATGGATTCATGTGTCTGGCTGTCATGTTTAAAGCTAAAATGTATCAACGAAAAGCTATCATAAAGGAACTTACGCACTTATTATTATAGTGATCTATTATTCTGAACAGGGTTGGTGTCAATGTGGTAATACTTGATAGCAATTTTATGAGACAAGATGGCTGTTTTTGTCATGCTTCATAAAAAAAAAAAAAACATATTTCCATTTTGTGTCAATTCCAAGGAATCACATTTAACAGGAATAAGGCTGTGTTTTATTCAAATCCTTTTATAAAAGGTACTATCCAGATAAGGTTAACAAGGGCTTAATTTACTTCTCCAATACCAATTTCTCTACTGTGCCCATACAATTTGTACACTCTCTCCATTCCTCTCTCTCTCTCTTTCTCTCTCTCTCTCTCTCTCTCTCTCTCACACTCTCTCTCTCTCTTTTCTTTCTCTCTCTCTCTCTCTCTCACACACACACACACACACACACACTCTCTCTCTCTCTCTCATTGCAAGTGAAATGTCTAGACTTTTATAAAGCCATGGATTTGCCAAAAATTAGACGGTATGAAAGTAGTTATAGATAAAAATAAAAATGTCTATAGAAATATTAATTCAACAATCCATGTACATCTACCAGACTAATGAACTTTTTAAACAATTTCATAGAGCCATATTCATATTGAGACCAGTCTGGAGAACACTTTGCCAATCACCACACCTAATCCAAAGCTCAACGCCCAAATGGTGATTTGATTGTCTGTATCTCTATCTCTCTAGGGATGTTTGCCACATTCTGTTTCACAATTACGCAGAGAGCCATCTATCAGCAACGAGGCATTACCTGGATGAAGCAGCTAGCTTCACAGATGACGACAACGGAATTCCTTAGGACTTTTAAACCACACTTTTTTTGCCATTTTTGTCCACCAATATGCACTTCAGAAAATAATCATTCAAATTAATTAAAACTAAAAATTAATATATCCTTCACTCTCCAATAATTAAGTAAATAAATTAACTTTTAAAACAGTTGAACAGCAAATCATTCCTTTTTAGAAGCATGGTTACTCAAATGTTTTGGTATTTGTAAGTATCAAAAGGCTAATGAGTTATGCAGGCTTTCTTTATTAGTTTTTTTAATCTGTGGGCACAATATAATGTATTTGTCACAATTTTAAAAAAAGCTCTAGTAGACGATGGTTAAAAATTTAAGTTAAACACATTTTACCCATGATATTTTCAGAAGGTAAAAGCAATGACTGCTTTGTTTTGGTTACATGACGACATAATATTACAGCAATATTCAAGTTGTCAGTTAACGAGTTAAAACATTTTTTAATATCTTTTTCTCCCCTCAATACTTTGAGTGCCATTTAAATATTTTTTCACTTTTGGCCTTTTTAAAGTCGGGTATTATCAAAGAAAAAAAATCTTTACCCAAAAACAACCTTATGCAGTAGGTTTCCAAAGATGATCATTTGGGATACCTACCTTATCTTTCACCTGATGGTTTATTGATTCAACCAACATCAAATAAATAGGTAACCCAAAAAAATCATCATATTTCTATAATGATTGACTAATCCATTATTTCTAAGTACCTAACAACTAAAGGTTTTTACAAAAAATAAAAAAGATGAAGCTACCTTGATTAAATGAAGCACTTCCTTTAAGAGCAATTCCGTTTGCCTACTCTTAAGAAAATAAAGCACTTCCTTTATTAAGATGTTTTTATCTCCAAAACTGTTTGGATAAAAAAGAATCTGATGAAGTGTGTAGTCTTATAAAGGAAATGTCTGAATCATTAGTTCTGTACTATTCATGTTCAAATTGAGAAATGGCCAGCAATTTCGTCAGAAATTAAAGCTCTCCATATACAAAAGAGTTGCACTGTTATTTTAATCCATCTCCCATAGAAGATGTCAAGCAATAAAAATGACTGATACATTTTCAATAATCAAAAGAAAAAAGTAATCACCCCTGCCTCTCAAATTGAAAAGGGCAATGAGAAAAGACATCAAAAAAGGGCATAAAAAAACTCACTCTGCAGTCACTGTGTTTGATACACCACTGTTAATAACCCTGCGACAATTATGGCATCCTCTTCAAGGCATTCAACACTGGTGATTATTTCCTCCGCCATTTACATCTTGTAGGAAGATGATCCTTTGAGCTGACAGCCCAATTACAAAGGCAATTCACCACACTTTTCTCTGGTCGAGCGAATCATTAATGAGTACATTCAACTCTGCCTGCCATTACGTGTCATTATTCTTTATCAGGTCTCGGCCATGTTTACAGAGGTGAAGAGACATTTGATGCATCTTTCTTTAACTGTGATGTAATTTCTTGCCCTGATATGAACAATCAATAATTTCTTTTTCACATCATGGCATTTATGAAGTATTTTTACTTACATATTTTTAAAGGGCACCTTTCTTTTATTTCAATTGCTAATCAGAAGATGTCCAAATAAAAACATTAATTCAAATGTACCAAGATGAAAAGACTTTAGGCAGACTTTTAGGGCAACATTTAAAAATAGAGGTAACAATGCTGAAAAGAAAACCT